TGGCAAAAAGCAAGGGTGAAGGGAGAGGAGTGTAAACAGTGGAGCTTTCAATTGCACTCATTGGTCTCTTTCTTCTCCACCTGAAAAAAGTTGCGATTCTGCGTCTCCGTGACTTTTTCTGATTGCCTTGAAGAGTGTATTCAATACCTTCTTTCCACTCTCGGCTTGCTCCTCTTAAATTAGATGTCATATTCGCTTCCTTTCTCTATTGCTGTCTTTTCACGCTTGGACTTTCCGCTTTCTTCGCCTGATTCCCTTTGATGTGCTAAAACCTCAGGGTGACCGACATACCGCACCCAAGCCATAAACTTTACAGAAGAGCAAGATTCACGTGTGCTTCCCGAGCTGCAGACTTTTCCATTTTCATTTATTTGTGTGTGTGTGTGTGTCTGTGTGTGTGTGTGTGTGTGTGTGTGTGTGTGCGTGCGTGTGAATGCGGGCAGTTGTCTACAGCCAGAAGAGAGAGTCAACTCCCCGGAGTGGGAGGGACAGGTGGTTCTGAGCATCCTGACTGGTGCAAGGAAATCTGGGTTCTCTGGAAGAGCAGCATGTGTTCTGACCCTGAGCCATCTCTCCTCGCCCACAAGCAAGAGACCTGATGCGCACACAATACAGTCCTTTGATTACAGAGTTACTGTTCTGTTTCTGATCATCCAGGGGTCCCGCTTTTCAGTTTTAACTTTCTGAATAATTCCATATCCTGTGAATATACAGTTATCCAGCAAATTCTGGAGACTCCGCATTTTAACTTTTCATTCTTTCTCTTTCACAAACAGGGCCTTTTATTTGTCACTGTTGAAAGTGTGGATTTTAAAGAGATTCTTGGGCTGAGTTCACATTCATCACCTCATTCAGTTTCAGCCTCTGTCTCATCACCTCCACCACGGAGTTCCATGAGTTTTCTCAATTCAAACCTGGGTTCCTTCCTTTACTTTTCTAGTGAAGGCATCATGAAGAGAGTAAACGGACTGGCAGGTTTTGTCTCTGTCTTTCCCATTGCTGTCTGCGGGCTGGTCAAAGCTTCAAGTCATTTGTCTGCACTTCCAACATTGTGATTCCATTATCTTCTCCTAGATCTGGAGGACCTCTGATGCTGTACACAGGGTGGCTTGCATATCTGCTTGTTGCTTTTATCTATCTATCTATCTATCTATCTATCTATCTATCTATCTATCTATCTTAGTGAAACCAAGCCAGAACAAAGCAAAGAACTATCTGTTGTCTTGACATTAACATCAGCTTGAATCATGGTCTGGTCTGCCACTTTTGACCATGGAAAACATGTAGTCCTGGGTAGGAGCCATGCCATGGAAGTTGGTCAGACAGTTTTTGCCCTGAACTTCCTCAGTCACTAGCCTGAATCTTCTAATTGCAACTTTTGTCATTCCGTAGGTCACCTCCATCAAAGTTCACCTCCACCACAGAACCCTTCGGGGCATCAGGTGCAATGTTGATTCCTGGAGTCCTTGTGACCAGTGTTTTTCCGATGTTTCTAATATTGAACATGGTGGGAGCTTTTTATAGCATACCAAACTTTCCTGGGAAGTGGATCGACTCCTTTCCTCTTAGCTCCCTTCTTGCTGCCTTTCACCAGGTGCTTGTCCTTGCCAACTGCCATGGCGCTGCTCTGAGAGCCAAAAGTGTGAAAGTGCATGCAACTTGTGTGAGAACAGGGCAGGACTAATTTTCATTTCTTGGCAGAAATAGAACTTCGCTAAAAAAGAAAAAAAAAGAAGAATTTGGATGGTTCTCTCTTTTATGGTATATACCATTGGTCTGTCCACAAATAGCTAGGCTCAAATTGGAATCAGCTAAGCATCTTAACAAGTGAAAGAAGTGGAGGCGTTTTGAAGCAGCTACAGTGACTGCCCTTGTAACAACCGTTACTAGTACTATTTTTATTAACCTCAGTGGTGAGTGGGAAGAAACGGGTCTAATTTTGAAAACTGTGTTTTTGCCACCGAGAAAAGAGCACAGTGCATGGCTAGCTGGTCTCACCCCAGGGTGGCACTTTCTATTGTCCTCCATGTGGCAGCCACATGTTTTTCTTTCTGTTTCTCCCAACTAGCTAAGTCTTAAGCAAGAAAATTTGGAGGAAATGAAAGAGGAAGAAAATGAAAATCATTTTTCTTTTACAGCATTTAGAGTATGTGCCAATGGGTTACACATTCCCCATCCCTGGTGTGTGTGTATATGTGCGTATGTTTAATAAAGAAAATAAGCAAAGCACATGGTTACTGCTCTGACCAGTTATTTCTGTTCTTCATGAAACAGCTCTAAATCAGAAGCAAACCGGGAGATAATGACTGCCCTTACCCACTCTTAATGTTTAGTGATCATTTGTACAAATCACCTGCCCTGCAAAGTAGAATGTGATTTCGAGATGCTATAAGACAAATAAATGTATAATTGAATTTCACTGATGGAAAGCACTTAAAAAGTAAAAATCGGTTTCTGTAAACTCCACTTTATACAGACACAAAATGTACCCAATACTTTGAAGTCTAACTCGAGGAATTATTTATTTAATGATAACAGTCATAATGAAGCATTGTAATGAATGAATTGAAAATAAAATAAACTGCATATAAAATAAAATAAATTCAAAAAATTGGAGATTTTGAAACTGGAAAAATAATTTGAAAATGATTTGGGTTAATTGTTAAACCTTAACAAGAACTAAGAACCAGGGAAAATAAAATACATATAGAGATGTATCCGCCTCCCTCTGCTGATTCCCTTATCCACCTCCTTCACTTTTTTCCTTTCCCCCTTCCCCACATACTAGAACTGGACACAAAAGCAAGTTAACTGAGATTCAGGACAAACTTTCTATCCTCCCCATAGGAGCCACTTTGTTCTTGTACTGAGCAAAGCTTTTCCCTCAGAAACCTGTGCTGGAGTAATAACTGTACCGGCCTTTCTCTTCTGGAGATGAACTGTTTGTGGGCAGATACAGAGCCTTTTTCAGATGAGAGATAATTATAATCAGTCTCTTCCTGTTTCTCCTTATAATTTTATCTGTCCATCTAAGTTATATACACCTGTTTTATTTTCTCTTTCCTTTTTAACTCTATCTCTCTTACAACATCTAGAGAAACCCAGTGGTTAATTATAAGCCTTGTAGCAAGGCAGTAAAATAGCAACTGGTGTTATCTTAGACATGGCTTTATTCTGAAAAGAATTCACTGTTGACTTGCCATGAGTGAATTTGTACTTAAAAGTTTATCTTCATTATTAAAGCAATAGATTTGCCACATGTGGGCAAAATTCTGTGTTGAGGAAGGTACAGGCTCCATCTAACTTGACTCAAACTGTGTCACGTGGTTTAATTGTGTCATGAAGGAAGCAGCCCCATCCTCCTCTATGTCAATCAAGATTCTTCTGTGGCAGGAGACAGAACCTGACCCTGTTAATCCAGGAAAGAATGCACTGGAAAATCTGAAGAAAAAGACCAAGGGCTGAAACCTCTCTTTTTTTCTAGCAGTGGGAAGAGGAATATTTTGGCCACATGACTACCATGACATTCAGATTCTAGGAAGATAGTCTCATTAGGACACACCCAGGTCTCATGACCAGTTCTTGAAGTGAAGAGGTCCCATGAATGCCCTGTCAGTCCAACCACACTACTGGGGATGCTGAGGCTCGGAGCAGAGTATTCCAAGGTACAGAAAGGGGAAATGGATACGAAGCGGTCAAAGCAGCAGCTGTCCACCGCACTACCTCTTGGGGTAATCGGTTATGGGAAGACAGAGACGAAGAGGTTAGAATTAAAGTGTATCTAGACAACACCTCAACGATGGGGTGATTAAAATTGATACTAAAATCTGGTTTTGCCTAGTGGTTTAAATCGGGCCACTTAGTAGCAATTTTTTCTTTGACTTCGGTCCAGAACTTCCCATACCCAGAGTGGAATGTGAATAACTGCTCGTTGAAGCATCTCTTTCCAGTTGCAGATTATCTGCCTACTCCTTCTCCTGGCCACACCCACTGCCTTCCCGGGACTCAACTCTGAACTCAAAGGCTGCTTCTTTTGCAACACCTTTGTTTAGATTGGAAGATGAATTAAAAGCTGCTGAATGCTTTGTTGAATTTCAACATTTAATATCGGCAATTTGATTTTAGAATGTGAAGTCAAAGCTCCTTATTAGACACCAGAAGAGAAAGAGCAAGATGTCAGAGAAAAAGGGCTACTTGAAGGTGCCTCTGAACACTCTCCCTTCTTCTATCTCTCTGATACACAGCGGGGATGAAAGGATTCTCTGCAGTTTAAAGTACAAATTGGGCTTTTTTTTTTTTTTTTAGACAAAGAGGGAGTCGTAGCAAGCTTTCCCTGTTCCCTGTTAATTTTCACTTTGGTTATTAAAATACTCACTATAGGAAACAGATTTGTAACCCATTTCTTCTATTACCTACAGCCAGAAAAACAAAATTTGATATCCTGGGGTTTATTTGCTGAGGGCGCTTCCCATAAAAGCGGGGTGAGTGTGCGTTGGGAAATCTGTCTGGTTAACTCCTTTAAGGATAAGCGTTAGTCACAGCCTCCCCCATCCCAACACACCAGCTTTGGCCCCCACTGCTCTCCCCACCTCCTGACTTCCCGCCTCTCCAGGGCTGGTGACCTAATAGCATTTTTCTTCGTGCATATTTTGGCTTGGGCCCACGGCCTGGCTGCCTCCGTCTGTCTGAGTCTTTTGAAATTCCTGCATGTTCGGCCCAGATTAAGTCGAGTGTGTCTCAGGATGTGTGTTCCGTTTTGTTCTTTCCCCTTAACTCTCCCTGTGCAACGTGTCTGGGGAGGAGGGGTGGGGGGCGGGGAGGGAAGGGAGGGGCAGAGTGGTGGAGCTGTCCGCCTTGCACGTTTCCAATCGCATTACGTGAACAAATAGCGGAGGGGCAGCGGGGCCAGGACGGCTTGTGTAACTGCAAACTTGTCAGAAAGTTTAAAACCTCTCCCCCTTCTTTTACTCCAGACACTGTGCGCTCTCCTGGACCGCGGTGCGCCGCTCCCCCGTCGCCTTCCAGGACTGGGAAAGGGGAGAAGAAGGACAGACGGTGCCACGTCCGACGGCCGAGCGGGCTGGGGGGGGCAGGGTCTGCTACCCGCCCTTGGCACGACTCCCCGAGACCCGTTCCCGCACCTCGCCCTCCTCCCTGCTCCAAGGAGCCTCCCTCCTTCTCGGGATCTGAGCCCCCGTCTTCATTTCCTCCGAGCTACGCCGCCGTCCTGGAGAAGAAGGGGCAAGCCGGGAGAGCCATGCGCTTCGCCTGGACCGTGCTCCTCCTGGGGCCGCTGCAGCTCTGCCCCCTCCTCCGCTGCGCCCCGCAGGCCCCGCGCGAGCCGCCCGCCGCCGCCCCGGGCCCCTGGCGCCAGACCATCCAGTGGGAGAACAACGGGCAGGTGTTCAGCCTGCTGAGCCTGGGGGCGCAGTACCAGCCGCAGCGGCGCCGGGAGCCGGGCGCCGCGGCCCCGCGACCGGACGGCGACGCCGCCGCCGCCGCCGCCGCCGCGCAGCCGCGCACACCCATCCTGCTGCTGCGCGACAACCGCACCGGCCCCGGGCGCTCCCGGACCTCCGGCCCGTCGGGGGTCGCCCGCCGCTGGCTCCAGGCTGCCTCCTCGTCGCCGTCGGGGGCTCGCGACGGAGCCCCGCGGCGCGCGGCGAACCGGACAGCGTCGCCGCAGCCCGCGCAGCCCAGCAATCTGAGGCCGCCCAGCCACGTCGACCGCATGGTGGGCGACGACCCCTACAACCCCTACAAGTACTCCGACGACAACCCCTACTACAACTACTATGACACGTACGAGAGGCCCCGGCCCGGGAGCAGGTACCGACCCGGGTACGGCACCGGTTACTTCCAGTACGGTGAGCATCCTCCTCCCCCCCCCCCCCCCCACACACACACCCGGGGCCACGACGGGGGCACCGGGCATCCTGGCTGCGGGTCGGCGCTGTCTAGACGTGGCGGCCTGGGCGCGGCAGCGGGCTCCGGTCCCGCAGACTCGACCCCCCTACTCCCCCCTCCCTCCAGCCCGTCCCGCCAGCTCTGGAATCTGAGGGAAACCGCGCTCCTGGCTCCGGGCGGCTCCTTTCCCCCCTTTTCCTCCCTAGCCCTGGCGTCCCCTGTTCTTCCACACCCTCGTCCCCACCTCGCAGACCCGCTAGGCACAGGGTGACAAGGCTGGCACTAGGTGTCAGAGGTCATCGGCTTGTCTTATCTTTAGGTCTCCCGGACCTGGTGCCGGACCCCTATTACATCCAGGCATCCACGTACGTGCAGAAGATGTCCATGTACAACCTGAGATGCGCCGCGGAGGAAAACTGCCTGGCCAGGTATGGAGCGCCACAGCCAGGCTCCCCGTTTGGGTCGCGGGATCACCCCGGGACTTAGTTCTAACTGCTATTCCAAGCAGACGAGGGCTAGGAACTGGGGCAAGGGCTGGAAAGTGGGACGTGACCTCCTGGGCACGCTGACTTGGATGGAAAGTTAATTTGGAATTTTTTTTTTTTTTATGGGTACCGCCTCAGTGGGACAAGCAAATGGGGGTTAGCGGGGGAGAAAACCCTTATTCTGGAGACTTGGTCTCAGGTTCTTTCCCAAGATTCCTCTTAGGCATTGGCGCCAACTACTTCCGATAACTTTATATAAGACGAAAAGTTCAACAACCCACAGCAAGGTGGGGTGTGGTGCTTGTAAAGAAAGAACTTGTCGTTATTCTCCAATGGTCTAGGGGTGTATTCGCCACGGTGGCGCTCCCCATGGGGAAAGAGCACATGCCACATTTCTTTCAAGCCGTGATTAACTGGGTTGTTTTGGTATAAGACCATGAGCAAGAGTTTTGCTTTCCGTCAGTCCTAAAATAAAATAGCTATTCTGGATTTAAGGGTTCTCCGATTTTGCTCCTGGCCACCAGCAGAGGGCGCACGATGCGTTTTGTGGTTCTGGTGGTATGTTAAGGAAAACGGTCCCTAAAGGTCTTCCAACACAGACCTACAAAAGAGATAGTAGCGTCCCAGAGGTGGTTATATGAACCTTTATTCCACGTTGGCTTTTCTACAACAGTCGGGCTAAGGGAAGAAATTCAAGCTCACTTACATCCCCGAGTCTTGCATGATCCACACCACAAAACGCCGCAAGACACTAAGAAGCGGCCTCAGTTCTAGAGCAGTGAAGTATAAAGTTATCTATCTAAAGCCAGGTGTCTAATTTTAGAGTATTTCTCCACTAAGTATCTTCGATATATCAAGTTATTAATAAATACCTCTGGGTCCTTTTGGCATGTGATCTTAATTTCAAGCTCTGTGGGCTTTTACTGTTGTCGTTCATTCCCCCGTTCAGCAGATAGTCAGCATGCTTCTCATCTTCCAGGACTGGAGAGGAGCTCAAGAGCCGCTCGTTGAGTTGAGAGGCTAGTTGGGGAAGCGGGGATTCCATTACCGCAGGGATTCCATTACCGTGTCTAGGCGAGCTGTTCTTCATTCGTGTTCGCAGGATCTAATGTTTCTTTTCTAAACTCCCAGCTCAGCGTACAGGGCGGATGTCAGAGATTACGATCACAGGGTACTGCTACGATTTCCCCAACGAGTGAAAAACCAAGGGACGTCTGACTTCTTACCAAGCCGCCCTCGTTATTCCTGGGAGTGGCACAGCTGCCACCAGTAAGTGGACCGGCCTCTCAGTACTTCTGGGATGCTCTTTCATCTTTCAGATGACTTATTCGTGTCTTACCCAAAGCTAGAGATTTACTCCTGTGTTGTGAAAGCGTGTGCTATAGAGAAGATCATCTTCAGTTGGCTAGCCTTAAAAGGCATTTAATAAAAGCACAGCATCTTTCACCTAAAGGGTTCAGAGACCATTCTCAATGAAAGATGGACTTCGGACCCAATCTACTTCCAATCTTTTGAAAGGCCCCTGTCAGCCTCAGAGTGGTTGCCCTATCCTTTCTAAATTTAAAGGCTTTAAGTTTTCAGTTATATGTGATTGTGCCATCAACTGCCCAGGTAATGTGCTCAAATATTCAGTGCCAGGAAATCCTGAGGTGGAGTCTCCTACTCACAGACACACCCAAACCCTCTCCCATTGTAGCCCCTCCCCCACGTGAGAAGAGGAGGAACTAAGCCTTCTATTCAGTGAATAGAGAAAAGTAAAGTGAACTTTAGCCACATAATTTATACTATTAAAATAGAAACATTTTATTTTACAATAAAAGTTTGTGCTATTTAAACAATAGTGTTAGGAAAACATGCTGTTGTTTTCCCCTTGCAGATCCAAAGAGGTTTAAAGAATGCTGCAACCCTAGTTTTTAGAATCTCATAGCAAGCCCTCCATAGAAAAGTTCTTGTTTGAAATCATCATCACATCACCAACATCAGTAGTGGAAGCCAGAGAAACACACCAGAAACTCCACAGGTTGCAAGCACAGATAATGGATTGTCTATGCTTGATGTTCAAAGATAAAACCCTGTATGAAGGACACCCTATCTTTAACAAGTAGTAAAGTTGAAAACTTGCAGTGTCCTTAAAAAAAATATCTAGCATGACTATCTCTTCAAGATAAACTTGGGAGCTAAGCATTATGGCACATGCCTTTAGTTCTAGCACTTGGGTGGCAAAGGCAGGCAGATTTCTGAGTTCCAAGCCAGTATGGCTATAGGTAAGTTCTGGGACAGCCAGATCTACACAGGGAAACACTGTTTCAAGAGAAAAAAAAATGGTCTGGAGAGATGGCTCAGTGTTAGGAGCACTTGATAGTCTTGCAGAGGACCTGGGTTCGATTCCCAGTACCCACTGGGCGCCTCATAACTGTTCATATCTCCATTTCTAAGGGATTCAAAGCCCTCTTCTGACTTCCTTTGGTCCCAAGCACATGCATAGAACACATACAACTTGTAGATAAAACATTCACACGCATAAAATAAATAAATCTAAAAAAATTAAAAACCAAGAAGATAAAGTTGGTCTGTTTGAGTTGTGAGCGCACCCCCATTTAATTTACGAGGGAAGGAAGTCACTCACCATCCTTGATTTCTCTGCACCGCTGATTGCTGTGTCTTTCTTGTGTGCAACATTAGACATTACCACAGCATGGATGAATTCAGCCACTATGACCTGCTTGACGCCAACACACAGAGGAGGGTGGCTGAAGGCCACAAAGCAAGCTTCTGTCTGGAGGACACATCCTGTGACTATGGCTACCACAGGCGTTTTGCTTGCACCGCACACACACAGGTAGGCTGAGACGCTGGCGTCAGGAGCCCGCAGACATCCAGAGAAAATCGAAGCAAACAACCTGATGTCTTCTTGCTCCCCACCCTTCTTTTTTAAACACTTGGTCTCATTTTTGAGCCTACCTTATCAACATGGAAAGTCACTGGGAAAAAGCGAATAGCTGGGTGGGGCAAATTGCTTATCAAGTGTTTCCAGCTGTAGGTTTAACCGCTGCTGGTGGTCACAGAAGGTCGGTGCGGATCCTTGCTACAGAACACAGCGAAAAGGAGTTCATTTTCTCAATATGCATGAAGGACTCACAACATCTCTCTTCCTTCCTTGCTCTTTAACTGGCTATAAGAACGTGTTGGCAATGTGCATCTGTTTTTCTTGCCCGGGAAACCATTGTCTTTGCCACCTTCATGCTTCATATGGAATTGTGTCTAAAGTTACAACAAGGAGTTGAAGCCAGTTTCTTAAAAGCACTTTAAACAGCATCACTTTTAATAATGCGCATAAGAACGGAAAGACACATTTCTTACTCCACATGTGTATATTTTAAACCTGCAGTATAATTAATGTCAGATGTCCTTTGTGTGAATTTGCTTTTAATAGTGCTGAGTTAAGCACTATTGTATGGCTTAGACTTGGAAAATGTGTGTCAGTTAAAAGCTATGTCAGTATTTCCATCCAAAACCCTCATCTGTAAAAGGACACTATAATTTTACTCCAGCCCAGCTCTTGGCAAGTAGCTCCTGAATGTATGTAACCCAGGACACAGAGACATCAGCAGCTGCCATCTCGGAGGGCGGATTGCAGGACTGTGGCCGGAAGCGTCGTAGTGACCCACATGTGGTGACCAGACTTCTTTCTTTCCTCCCGGCTTAGCTCATCAAAGTGGCTAGAAAGAAAAACAGTTATATTTAACATAGGTTGGGAAGGGCAGGACACATCTTTGGAGCACACCCACATAGTGAGCAAGTACCCATACAGAGAATGCCTCCCCATTCTGTGATCACCCCCGAGAGGACCTGGAGCACGTGTTTTCCTAGTCAGAGAATGATGCAGGTTGGTCTTCTCACCCTAAGAGGGAAAACTTGGGTGAGGTTTTGTGCATATTTCAGCCCAACCAAAAGTTCTTCCTTTTGTGTTTCCTGCTCAACACAAGAAATGAGAGTGGATCAATGTAGGGATCCAGGTAATTACGGGTCTCACTCATGTGACTAGAGGAAGTTTGAGTTTTCCCGTCCTGTGTTATGGACAGCAAAATTTCTCACTCTTCCCAAATCTAACTGCAGCCAAACCCACACTGCCAAAGCACACTGAGAGTATTTTGCTCTCTTTGCTGACCAAAGTGACCTTAAGCACCAAGAAAACTTGAGTGACAATTTCTAATGACAATGCTGAGTTCAAACGATTGTAACACATACCTTTTAATCAACTTTGGATTATTGGAATGCAGATATAACAGCTAAAAGTTCTCAGGAGGAGATAAGGAAATGAGAAGATACCTGTTGCTCCCAATAGAAGGAAATATCTTCAGCCTCATGAAAGCAAAAAGCATCTATTCTTGGCGTCTTTCTCCTGGCAGCTATGAGACACCTATTGACTTGCTGGTGTGAATGTCTTAGCACATGGAATGCTGCAGCATTGACAAGCTTAGGCATATACCCTTCCTTCTGAATCAACAAAACTTTCACTGATTATTTGAGAGAGGGAGCATGGTAGTTGAGAAATGGTTCCCTGGACCCTGTTTATATCATCTTGAAACCGACCTGGTTACTCCCCAGCTGTTTGCTCCTGAATCAGTTAGCATGCCTCAGGTTCCACATCTGTAAACTGTGGAGAACAGCACACCTGTCTCACGTCTTTGTGAGAACTGATTTTATATGTTTAAAATTGTTTAGGTATGTGGTATGTATACACACACACACATACACACACACACATATATATATATACACACACACACACCATCTATCATCTATCTATCTATCTATCTATCTATCTATCTATCTATCTATCTATCTATCTATCTATCTA